ATATCATCTACTATAGTAGTTGTCAACTCTGCCCACACATTAGGATTTCAAAGAAAACTCCAAAAAATACTGATACCCCAACCCTATCCCAAGTTCTGACTTAATTGGTCTACGGTGGAGTCTAGGCATAAATATATTTTTAAAGCTACACAGGTAATTCTAATGACTTTAGGGTTGAGAATGACTGTCTCACTATCTTCATTTATATATGATAAAAATGAGGCAGGGAGAAAGTTAGTGATATTCATAGGAATGAGAGTAATAGTTAATAACTAAACTAGGAAAATAAATATTTTTTCCTCTAAAACTAGATTTTAAAAATTACATCCCCAAGCAGCAGGTATATAAGTATGAACAAGACAAGAAATTTCTTATAAAGCTTACAGTCTGGTGAAAAAATAAAAAAAAAGTAAACAAGTATACAAATAAAATCATTTTAGGTAGTGGTAAGTGCTATGAATAAAATAGGCTAATAAGATTAATGAGGAGGTAAATGAGGGACAACTTCTGATAATGTGATCAAAGAGGGACTGTTTGGGTATATTAACATAAGTCGTATTATACATTTTATTGGATAACCTGCCTTCATCATTTAATATTTAAAAGCTATCTTACAGTGTGTCTACAGATATATACCTATTGTTCCTTGAACTGCAGCCATCTTAAGAGAGATTTTATTGTTCTCTACTAATGAAATCAATGCTGTGAGGAACACTTTTATATATTTATCTTTGTGTATATATGTAAATATTACTCTAGAATAAATTCCTAGAAGTGGAATTACAAGGTCAAAGAAAGCACACATCTAATGTTTTGATAGATATTATCAAATTATTCTCAAAAAGCTTGAAAAATGGAGCTTCTGAAAAAAGCATATTTTTTCAAGCAACTCCCGTTAATAGCATTTGAATAGATATTTTGTCTTTCTAGTCTCTGTAAGAAGATTCTCAGTCTTTATCTTATTTGACCAAACAGCAATGTATTTGACAGAATTTATTACCCCTTACCTGTCTGAGATACAGTTTCTTCACCTGTCTTCTAAGACTGCATGCTCTCATGGTTTTTATGGTAACACTGGACTCTTTGCAATCTTCCCTCCTTGTTTTCCTCATCTCCTTGAATTCTAAGCATCGAAGTGTCCTAGGGATCAGTCTTTGGTCCTCTCTCTACCTATACCCATTCCCTTCGTGGGCTCTCATCTAATCTCATTGATTTAAATACCATTATCTCTCATTTCTATGAATATCACACTTAGACATTTGGATTTCTAAGAGGCATCCAAAAACTTCAAAAACTGAATTAAAAACCTGTTCCTTCTAATGTTGCCTTATTTCAACTCAGTAATGGCAACTCCATCTTTCCAGTTGCTCAAACCAAATTCTTGCTTTCTTTCTCTTACACCCTATCTTCATTTAGGTTTCTGCTCAAGTCAGGTTCCCCAGAGAAGCAAGCCTCTCTTACCACATT